ATTGGAAGTCTCTGAACTGCTGTTGAAGGGACTGCACAGAGCAAAACATCAACAATGTCCCTTTCCTGGATTAACAGAACCTGCAGCTTTTTTGACAGCCTGCCACCATGCATTTCAACCCATTAAATCAGTTTGCAGATGGAAAGAGGCCTTTCTTTTCCCCTCTGCCTTGCAAAAGAGATTCTGGAACAGGAAACTGCCTGATCCAGAATCAATTTCCACACCCGCTTTTTCAGAAACATTCTTTATCAAAAACACAGGGCAGAGTAGGATATCTGCAGAAGAGGTCTTGCAGGATTCAGTACAGATCTAGAATCCTGCCAACCATGAACAGTGGGCCTAAAAGGATTACACATTCAAACATCATTCCATTCCGTATGAAATGTATACAGTACTTCGACATCACTGGATTAAAAAAGGAAAGGCCACATCAGATTATATATTTAATATATTTTGCCCTTACTCTTCTACAAATGTCCTCAAACAGAATAAAATAGTGTGATTAATCGACATCCATCCTTTTTTCTCTCTTAGAATTTGTGGTTTTACAGCATATGAAAAAGCTAAATAATTTTATGCTTCTAATATTATCCTCCTAAACTGTAATTAGCATTGGCAGAATCTTTTTCTTTATTCTCTCTTCCTGATACTCTGCTTTTAGCAGAATCCTAATTTTTAAACACGTTAAATGCATAGGAACAAGACAACGCATTAAGATTTATAATAACATAATAAAAAGAGGGAAAGTGCGCAGTTTGTCCTCAATTTACAGTCATTTAGCAATCAATCCAAGTTGCAAGGGCATTAAAAAAGTGACTTACAACTGCTCCTTGCATTATAGAATAGAATAACAGAGTTGGAAGGGACCTTGGAGGTCTTCTAGTCCAACCCCCTGCTCAGGCAGGAAACCCTATACCATTTCAGATAAATGGCTGTCCAATCACTACTTAAAAACTTCCAGTGTTGGAACATTCACAGCTTCTGGAGGCAAGTTGTTCCACTGATTAATTGTTCTGTCGGGAAATTTATCTGTAGTTTTAGGTTGTTTCTCTCCTTGATTAGGTGGTTTCAAGATATGTTTCTAAAATGATTTAAATACCTTGGTCTGCTTGAAGCAATGGTATGCAGGGAGCAACTGTTTTTTTTTTTATTATTATTTATTTATTTATTTATTTATTTGTTTGTTTATTTATTTAATCTATTTGTATAGCCACCTATCTCAACAAGTGACTCTGGGAGGTGAACAATATCACGTAAAAAAACCCTATACACTATAACTACAAATATTAAAATGCATAGCAACAAAGGAGGGCATCATAATTAACAATGCTAATATACAGTCAAGTGTATCTGTATATTGTTTTACACACTTGGAGGAGTCCCTGGTCTGGGCACAAGAGTTTTGCACTAGAACTAGGCCAAATTCAGAATGTTTTGAATCAAAACACATCACATATTTTATACCAATGAGCCGTTCTATTTTTAAACAGTTTTAAATACTGACTGGCAATCCTTCTCTAGACTTTTACAAAGTAATTTATAACCCAGAAGTTGAACTTGAGACCTTCTATATACTGTGTATGAGCACAGCAACATAATTTGGGCCCAATTCAAGATTTCAGTATTTGTAATTCACGCAGACTGAGTTATCCAGTTCTTAATTATATCAAAGTACATCACAACAGAAAGAAAGAAATCAATTGTTAAACCATATGCCTCTCCCTTTTAAACTGAACAGCCACATACTATACTGTATGTTCCTTATTTGTTTTCTAAAGGCACTAAAGAGCTTGATGAAAATTGAAATGACAACATGAAATTTTGCAACGTTAAAAATACACATGCTATTCTTAACACAAATGTGTCTAATTTTGCAGTCATGTTTGCATTCCTTTTTGGAAAATAAAATCCACGGTACTTGCTTCTTTTTCTCTTTACGATGCAGACCAGCTCAGACCTGTCTTTCTGGTTTGCGTTTTTTTTTTTTTTAAGCAAGGGATTTGCCGGACAAATTGTGTTTTTGTTTAATCTCGTCTTGATTGGGAGATAGTGTTTCAGGTTTAGAAGTACCTAGGAATTTTTTAAGCCGCAATTTGCTGGGTTTTTTTTTTGTTTGTTTCATTCAGTATATAAACCTCTTTGAATCTGTGTTGATTTCTATCCCAGACATAGGGGGGGAAAACAGGATCTTTTGAAAACAGTGGTGATGGGGGAAAAATTGGACGGGGTGTGTGTCTATCCTTCCATTTGCTAGCCTTATTTTATCCTTTAACAGCCTGGCACACTTTCAGAATCATATGCTAGCAGTGTTATCTCTAAAGTAACACATATGCATAGTGAGAAGGAAGCTGCTACTTACAAGTTGTTTTAAAGTGATGTGTGTTCTTTTTCCTCCCCCAAAAAGCAACGTAGTAAGGGACTTGAGAGGGTAAATAAGAGGTGCTTGTTTCCTTGCTCAACCAAGAAGGCCTATGTTGAAATCCACTCTCGGATGCAGAATGTAACAAGAATTTTTTTGGCCAATAACTTATAATACAGGATAATTATTGGGGGGGGGGGGAAATGGAGGAAGGTAGGCTGTGTATACCACCTCAAGCGCCTGAAGAAAAAGTGAAATAGAAATCTAGCCAATAAAAATGAACAAAAGCTGAAGTAGTAATAATGAAGGACATTCTAATAATAAGTACTAGTATATTATTTATAATAAATACTAGTATATTATTTAATTGATACTGTTGCATTAAATTAAACAAAGGATGGGATTTAACAGTGTAACTCCTTCTGATTCGGGGAAAATCTAAGATCCTGGTAATTTGACTTTATTGTCCTGTTGAGAATATCATGACAAGTAGAGGTATTAATTGGTCTTCATCCTGTTGATAATATCAAAACGATAAAGGTATCAATTTCTCTTCACCTTAGAAGCAAAATATATGCTACTCTGTTTTAGAGGCATCAAGTCTCTGAATAAAGTTTGCCAGAGAAAAGGAATGAGAAGATCCCAATGTTTTCGGGGCCTGCCAGGAAACAGCATGGGAAAACGGAATACGGGACTAGATGAGTTTTTGATCTGATCCAGCAAATCTATTTTTAACAATTTCACAAAAAGCTTCAGAGGACAGATGCTTTAGCTGCTTCTTCTATCACCTTGTCATTATTTTCTTGCCCCCCCCCCCCAAAAAAAAAAAAACTGAGGAGAGAAAAGTAAAGACTTTTGCAGAAATGATAAAAGTTGCAAGTGAACTCAACAGAGTAACGGGTATTATAAATCTCTTTGGTGGGGGTTCAAGAACATTATTTTAAGATTTTGGTCACCACTTCTATTTACAGCTAACCCAGGTTGCTATAGGGGAGGAAAATAATGATACTAATTTTGTAAAATGTAGAAGATGCAGATGACCTTGACAGAAATAGGCAAGATCTGTTACCAAAGCAATGAGGGGAAAAAACAAATTGTGAGTCCAAAACAAGCAGAAAATGCATGGAAACGGCTGAGACAGAAATCTCCCTAATGAGTCTAAGTGGGAGACATAAAACAAGATTCTGTTACTATAGCCAGTAATAAAAACCTGGTCTCAATGAAAGTAGTTTCGCCCTTCCTGTGGAGTTGATTTCTTGGTTTTTCCTACCTAGTGGAGCTGATATTTTGCTGGATACGATAATAAAACAATAGCTTAGGCTGCACCCTTGGCTTTGGATTTACTAGAAATTGAGCATCATTAACTCAATGCCTCAATTGAGAATTGTGCTATTTGCACATTACTTAGAAATAATCTTCATGGATTTTATCATTTGTTAGATTTATATTCTACCTTTCATTCAAGAATACAAATGGTGCTCTTTGAGCTTGCTTGTTTTCTTGCAGATATTTCCTTACCCTAACCAGGTAACATCATCAGTTATAAGTGTGAAAAACTTTTTCAGTACCCTTGTAATTCTGAACAGTCAGTAAATGAAATCGTTATAAGTTGAAGACTATCTGTAATGAAGAAAGCCTGCAGAAGTAAGCATGAACTAAAGGCACATTAGGACAAATTTTTTTTAGCCTGCATTGATGTCTTTAAACCAGCAGTGGCTATTACGGGTAGGAAAATAATCTAGGATTGTGGTAGATATCTCAGGATAAAGCTCCTGTGATAGTGACATGGCAAAATTCTCTGCTGTAGTGCTTCTCGGAAGAAATAATATGGCTATTATACTCTTCTAATAAACTAGATTGCATTACGGTTTTGTGTGACTGTAGTTGGAAATGGTACCTCTATTATGAAACGTGTATGCTGGGACATCAATTGCATTGGACTGCTTGGAACAGAAGATAGTGAGGCTCACTGAGAATATTTTGGCCCAAGGACACAGTACTAATTTGGGATATTTGAAGGAGTTGACTTGTTCGTTTGGACTAACCACCACATTAACATTTTCACTGAAGGTCTTCTCCGTGGCCCAGTTACCAGAAGCCTTGATTACCCAACCTTAGTCTACAGCAGGGGTCTCCAACCTTGGCAACTTTAAGTCTGGAGGACTTCAACTCCCAGAATTCTGGGAGTTGAAGTCCTCCAGGCTTAAAGTTGCCAAGGTTGGAGACTCCTGGTCAGCAGGAGGCCGAATGACAGTTGCTGGTGATAGATAGGCAAATGCTGTTGCTTTTATTCTGTTTTCTGAACTGTCTAGAAATAACTCAGTTGTCACTTCTAGGAAAACAGAATTCCGATTTCTCTGAACCTTTTGAATTAATTGAGAAAACACTTTAAGCTGTCATATTGTTAATGCTTCAGAAGCACTCCATATTCCTTCATTAAAGCTCACCGTTGGGGCATCTTTTGCGGGGGGTGGGTTGGGGGTGGGGGTGGAATAGATGTGGTAAGCATGTGTTTCCTTCTTTTTGCCTTTGCTCTTCTTTTTATTATTATCCAGTACAACTCCAGAATAATTAGGATTGCCAATTTTTGCTGAGCATAGAAACTGTCCTTTGCTGATACTACCATCTCTTTTTCAAACAGAAACCTGAGCCACAACAAACTGACCGAGATTGATCCTTCTGCCTTCGCAAAGCTGCCAAAACTACGGGAAGTGTAAGTATTTTCTGTCTAAAGGACTTTTCATCCTGGCCGCTCTCTGTCTTCACTTCCAGTCTGGCTAGGGTAGTAGTCGGAAAAAGTATACAGTTTCCGAGGACGTGACTCCATTGTTCTTCCAGCTTGCATCAACAGATTAAATCTGAGCTTTTGTTTTTCATTCATATAGTACCCGGGTGCTGTTTAAAAAATTAACAGTCAATTAGTAGAACACAGTGTCTCAATTAAACTGCAGTGTCTTTATTGGAAATCATTGGTGTTGTCTGTTCTTCCCTGGCTCTACCTGCTACTATATTTCATAATCCCAAAGATAGCCAGGTAATCATACTAAGCTGCATGGATCTGTTTTCCTCTAATACAAAGTAGACTCTGCTGTGACATCTAATGCTAATCTTTTCTGGCTGCCTCAAGAAGAAAATGTATAGTGTTGGTACTATGGAATAATTACCTTCTCCCCCTCCCACCCACTGCTCCCTAGCAGAAAGGACAAAGAGCTTCTTCCCAAGGCTGGTTAAGATCTATCCATTCTTGAGTCAGCAGAAAACTATATTCTAGCACAAAATTGGGTGCCCCATTTCTCTGTCTGTCTGTCTGTCTGTCTGTCTGTCTATCAGTTAATTTCCCAGCATACACGTTGATAATAGATAGACCAGTTTCAACAGTAGCCTCACCATGTAAGGTTACATTACCATGTAATCCAAATGATGAGAATTTATATAGTTGCCCATCCTATAAAACATTACTCTAGGCAGCGTATAGCAATTAATTAAAACAAATATATAAAAACCAAGCATTATTAGCAATAGCAGTAGCACTTAGACTTATATACACAGTGCTTTCCAGCCCCTCTCTAAGTGGTTTACCGAGTCAGCACATTGCCCCCAACCATCTTGGGTTCTATGAAAATTATTTTAAACCCCACCACAAAATACAAGAGAGTGAATGTTAACCATGGAACCATTTCAAGGTTTCATCTGTCCCTTGGAACACCCAGGCCTGGTGCAATACATTATTAAATAATTATTTAATTAATCATAAATTATTTTACTCTAATATGAATCCCTAGAGATGTTTTGAAAAGATGTGTCTACAGTATTTCCAATAGTTAATTATATTCAAACAGTACATGTAGTCCTCGCCCCACAACACAATTGAGCCCAAAATTTCTGTTGCTAAGCAAGTACAGTTGTTAAGTGAATCATGAGGTGGTTAGTCAAATCTGGCTTCCTCCATTGACTCTGCTTGTTGGCACTGAAAAAATTACTTATGACTGGTCCTTGCATTTACGACTGTTACAGTATCCTCATGGTGGTCCCATGATTGAAATTTGGGTGCTTGGTTACTGGCACGTATTTATGACAGCTGCACTGTCTTGGGATCATGGGGTCGCCATTTGTGACCTTCCCAGCTGTCTTTGAACAAGTAAAGTCAACGGGGGAAGCCAGATTTTCTTAACAATCACATGATTCACATAACCACTCCAGTGTTTCAACAAAGTGGTTGTAAAATTGAGCACAACTCACTTAATATCTGCCTTGCTTAGCAGTGGAACATCTGGTCCCAAGTGTAGTTGGAAGTCAAGGATTACCTGTAGTAGATGCAGAAGATGAGGAAATGGTGCTTTACTGATATTCTTGGATAGTTCACTATAGTTCAGGGGTGTCAAATTCAAGGCCCAGGAGCTGGAGCCAGCCCGTAGGGTGCTTATATCTGGCCTGTGGGGCCGTAAAAGACTGGCCCATAGTGCCTGTGCTAGCAAAAACAGAGCTCGGGAGGGCCACCCATGGCCCTCCCGAGCTCTGTTTTTGCTGGCAGTGGGTTGCAGGAAGACGTTGCAGCTGAAAACAAAATGCGGGAACCTGTTTTTGCTGGCAGATCACTCAGGCCACCAGAGGTGCCCCTGACACGAGTGACATCAAGCTGGCCCTGTCCCCCCAGTCAAACACAACCCCGATGCGGTCCTCAATGAAATCGAGTTTGACACCCCTGCTATAGTTGAGATGAATTGGATGCCTCCTGTTTGCAACTGCATACAGTACGCTTAACTATTACACTATTACATTCACATATCAGTGAAACGTTCTATTTCTTGTGAGGTGGTTTTGCAGCTATGGCTTCACAGTGAAGAATGCAAGTAACTGATTAAAAAAAAAAGATTAAAATCCCCCAACATGATGGCCACAATGTTCTTTTAATGTGCATTGGTCCGAGCTTCACTTGCACCATTGTGAAAGCCACCTTAACCTTTTTTGGGACTACATTCTGTGGATACCCCTGAATGCGAAGTCGATACTTTGCACATGAACTGGTGATAATACGGTACATGGAAGTCAGGACAGTTCACAACTGTTATATAAAAGCAGCAGAACTATTTGGAATCGGACCATAGTCCCTAAGTAATCTAGCATGTTCCCACAGATGTTTCCTGTTTTGTATCTACCATGAATCTGCCTGGGATTGTAATGAGAGATACATGGGATTAATCCATTCAATTAATAACTAAAATAAAATAATTGATCCTGCTTGAAGGCCACAAGAAAATCGTAACTACAAAATCCCACCCCACCCAATGGTTAGCATTGGAGATCATGCACCATTGGATCACTTTATGTTGTGTAAAACTTGCTTTTTGTCTGAATATTCCCCTCTCCACTCTTTTTTTACAGCATGCTTAATTAAAATGTCGTTTTTCCTTTCTAGCGATTTATTCTTGTAAGCTAAAAATCCATGCAGTTTTTATCTATCAAGGCTCCTTGAGCGCCACATGAAGTGAGAATTTGTGGCTGTCTAGAAGTTGTTGAACTATCCTACCAGGCAGAATAAAGGGTGCTTGAACACAGTCTTAACACTTGAGCACAATGTCTACTTTCAGAGTTCATAAAACCCTAGGCTTCTTTTAATCATAATCAGGGCAAAATTGCATAAAGTTCCTTTCCCAAACTATTTTTTTTTACTGTTTTGCCTTTAAAAAAAAAGTAAAATCTAAGTGCCTTTCAGTGAATCCTCAAGAGAACTGTGCTATTTTTAAGTAAGATCCATTTCAACATGACATTAGCCTGGCAACTAGGTTGTAAATATTTTATAGGGAGTGTCACTCCCCCTTCCCCATCTTACCACACGTGGTATCAGGATCAAAGGGTTGGAAAGAGAGCTTTTAGCTGTAGTTGCTTCAGAGAGTTGTTCAGCCTGTCTTACCTTTGCTTGTTATTTAAGAGAAGCTCCTGACCACATGCCAAAGCTCCTTACCCAACAATATGCCAATATTTAACAGCAAAATAAACTAACAACCAAGAATTTATTGTTTAGATTGCTAGTAAGTTCTAACTTGTCCTGCCAGGTTATACTTGCCAATCAACACCCTATAGAAGCTTCTGTTATCGAATATACCTTAGGTCCTTCCTGTTTGCATTAACAAAAGCCTTAGGAAAGAATTCATGAATGAAGCCATTCGTCACCATTGAAAACCCTACTTAGGTTCCAATATTCATGTGGAACTCTTTCATAAAAAGATGCCCATTTATGTTGTCCATCTCCTTTTGTGTATGTATCGATAAAGGCCAGGGCATTTTTGAGTTCCAAGCAGAACTTGTGAACTTCTGTAGAACATCAGGAAGTTTGCTATGCATCTCCATGGCACAACTTTCCATAGATACATAACAACAGAATCAGTTCAATAATCATCTTCTTGGTTTCTGGAAGGTTTTATTGAACAAAAATGTTCACACGTATTTTTTGTTGAAAACTTTATACTTGTATCAATTACTCTTAGCATGGTTTGTAGTGGATAATTGGATATATGCATTACTGCTATATCTTCTTATATACCACTTTATCTTTTATATACTTCTAGAACATCTTCAACATAGCATCCTTCGGAGTTGATGGTTATTTATTTATTTTTAAATAGTGGATATTTATTGAATAAATACTCAAACTGGTTTACAAAATGTCCTATTTTTGTACTGCCCAGAGAATCTAGCTAATACAATTTCTGTTTTATTTGAAGGATGCTGGCCTGGAAAAATTATTGATATAAGCAAATAGTTCATAATTTGTTGGTTATCAAGTATAATTTTTAACAAGTGTAAACAGTTGCCTTGCTTGACTTTTAAAAATAATGTTAAGAAATACAGAAATGCTTTGATATAAAGGAGTTTGCTGAGACAACTGGACCTTATTTTTATTTTGCAACTTTTCCCCCCGTCTCTGCATTTTACAGATATAGTGAATCATACATCTAAAATAGAGAACAAACCATTTTAAATCTTTGCTGTTTGGAAAGACAAAAAAGGATAAATAAACAAGATCCAATTATACGTACCGCTTGTAGAGTTAGAGCAAGAGTCTTCAAACTTGGCAAGTTTAAGACTTGTGGACTTCAACTCCCAGAATTCCTGAGCTAACATGACTGGAGGAGGAATTCTGGGAGTTGAGGTCCACAAGTCTTAAAGCTGTCATGTTTGAAGACCCCTGAGTTAGAGAAATTCTCCTGTTCTTAAGCAGGAAGCAATTGGGTTGTTTGTTTTTTGGCCTCAATAACTTTTTTGACTGCTTCTTTGGAAAGGTTAAAGCTAGGCAAGGAGGCCAGGAAATTGGGCAGTTTTCAAGCAACAAGACAAGCACCTGTTTAATGCTAATTAATGGACTAATTCAAAGTGAGAACTGCAGGTATCTAAATCCTGAAGGAAACAGATTGTATTACGTAGGTCAGCTTTCTTTCAGTAGTCCAATACAGATATCATACTACTAAGAGTGAAACTCTGAAGTCCAGTAATTCAGCAATGGAAGATGAAACTATCCATTTTTTAATTTTTATTAGAAAAAGATTGAACCTCATTTGTATTTCATTTATATCCAGTATGTACCTAAAAGACCATTAATAAACCATTAACTGAAACAATTAAATGGGCATAATTGCGGAAACAAGTGTATTTTTGATGTAATTATTTATTTTACACAATATATACCTTTTCTTCTTTAAGAAAAGGTAGATGATGTGCTTCTACAAAAAAATAATAATCACAAATGTAGTCCTTCCAATTTCTATTTGATGGAGCAGGTAATTGGAGCAGATGCCATAGGTAGTTCTCAACCTATGACTGGTTGCTTACCAACCGTTCAATGGGCCTTCCTGGGGATACTTATAACCTGGTTCTGAAGTTCTGATGGCTTTTCTCTCCCCCCCCCCCATGGTCACATGACTGCAGGTTGGGCACTTAGCAACAGACTCACATTTATGGCTGTTTCTAGCATCCTGCAGTGACATGCATACATTTTATGACTGTTTTGCCAAAAACCAGCATTTACTTTTTGTTTTCTTTAAAACTGGCCCAGGACGAACCATTGGTTTGCTTAATGTCGGTGGTGTTTGCTTAAACAATCACTGCAGTAAAGGTTGTAAAATCAGGTCAATCATGTGAGTGATCCGTTTTATGATCATCGTGACTTACAACCATGATGGGCAGTCCTCCCAAGTAGACGACTACCTGTACTGGGGGAGCTGAGGTATTTGCCTGGCTCTGTGTTAAGGTGTTGTATATGCTTTGATTATCAAGACAAAGGAAAACTTATCCCTCTTCTTGACCCAAAGGTGCTTATTTTCAAGAGGCAACTGGACTTTCTGGTTTTTCCTTTGAAGACTTTTTTGCTTCTCATCCAAGAAGCTGCTTCTTCAGAGCTGAAGAAGTTTCTTCAATGAGAAGCGAAACATCTTCAAAGAAAAACCAGAAAGTCCAGTTGCCTCTTGAAAAAAGCACCTTTGGGACAACCATGACCTGGATGACTGGGAATCTCCATAAACATCCCTCTTCCTGCTTAATTCCTTCTTTCTGCTGAGTTCCTGAGGATTTGATGATTGCTTCCACATCTTTTTATTTTCCGCTTCTTTTTATGCCTTTGAGTCAGTGTTGACTCTTGCCAACTGCCTGGGCAAGTACCACAGTTTTCTTGGCAAGATTTCAGAAGTGGTTTGCCATTGTCTCTTTCCTAGGGTTGAGAGAGAGTCATCCGGTGCTTTTTCAAGAGGTCCCCTAGCTGGCTTTGTGCCTAAGTCCTAGATGTCCGGTTTCTACTCTGATCTCTTAACCTCCACCAAACTCACTCTCTCCATATGCACTAAGATTCCCAAATTCATGAGGCTGATGGACTCATTTGGATGGAATAGTTGACGTGGGGTCCAACCAGCCATAAAGCCATCGGGGTCAATGTATATTGTGAGGAAGAAAGAGAGACAGATGGAACAGGAGGATGCTAATTCATACCCACAGCAACTTCAATCCTGTATGCAAAGAAATGCTTCTTGCTATTTGTCTGTCTGCATCCTACTAACATGGACAGCACCAACCTGGATTGCTGAAGGGACACAGCATAGGAGAGGGGTGGTTGGGAGAACCAAGACTTAATACAGAACAGACTCGGGCACCAGGTCCTTCTTTTATTCCCTTTGACCACATGAGAGTCTCTAAAGCAGGAAAACTACGTTGGTGTCTAAAGCTGGCTAGTATGATAGCTCTGGATGGATCATCCTCATCTATTATAACTAATGATGCAACCCTCTTTCAGGAGCCATTGTGGTTACAATCACTACTATTTCTGACCTTGGCTGTAACCATGTCCGGTAATCAAGTCCAACAAGGAGATCCTAATGGAGAAACTTTTGATCCCCAAGCCATCCATTAAAAATACATATATCAAAAGAAATTGTGCACAAGGATGTAAATCAGGAGCTCTGGTTAGAACTCCCCAGGAGCTACTTGTGTCTCGTGATCTGTAGTTTGCCCAGCCTTGGAGGGAGCTGGCACTTGTTGCTGTTCCATAAATATGTGTTAGCAATAACTAAAGTAGGCATGGAATGTGCAGCTGGGTTTCTGTTACAAGTGTTCTTGGCGGTGACTTGGCTGGAAAGTCACAGAATTACAGGAAGTGCACTGACACATTTCTGCATGCAGCTGGGCTTCTAGTTTAATAATCATGACAGACAGCGAGCAACAAAAAGCAACCTGAGAGTCTCCCCCGCCCCCCCCCAAAAAAAAGTTTGCTTCATTTTTTTTAATAATTGGTTTTTTTAATTGTTGTCATTGTTTCCTCCAGGCGACTGAATAACAATGAACTGACAGCCATTCCATCTCTGGGAGCAGCTTCAGCCCACATAACTTCCTTGTTCCTGTAAGTCTCAGCATTTAGCTTTCCTACGAGTATATTTTTAATTTGAAGAATCTGTGCAAGGTATACCGTGTGTTTCTTATTTTAGCTTGAATGCATTCAATGATATCCGACCAGCTGGAGCTTACTAAATGTTGATGTTCCACTTAAAGACCTCTGCTGTAAAGTACTTAAAGTGAAGACTTCCATTCTCCAAAATGCAAATTCTCCTTGGAATACAAAAATCCCGAATTACATTAGTAACATCTAACCTGAAAGAGAAACAGTAGTAACCTGTGGTACCTGAAGGAGAGAGAGAAAATGAAGGTGATCAGTTATAGGTCTCAGGACTCAATAGAGGTTATAGGTTTGCAGAATTCAGTTGAAATTTTATTTATATCAGAGTTCTCCAAATGTTTTGGGTTGGTGGCCTGAAGGGAAAGGTAGGGGCAGGTGACATAGTGCTTGCGGCGACACTAGCGCCCGTGTGATCTAGCGGCGATATGTCGTGATGCTAGTGCAAGTGGGGGTGTGAGCATGCACACACAGGCCCACACTAGCCAGCCATTCACTGGTCTGGGGGTCAACACACCACAGTCCGGTAGTGGGCCGTGTCCCGCAGTTTGAGGACCCCTGATTTATATAATTCCCCATCTTCAGATGTGCAAGATTCTGTTAAAATGTCATTAAAAGTACAGCCCACACATTCCTGAACAATATGCTTCTGGATTGGCTTGATTAAATTCTTACCTTCTCCTCCAGCAACCCTGAAAACTATATTTGAATAAAAATTCCCTGCTAAGTATCAGATTAAGGATGACAAAGAATACGGATAGCCCTTGACTTATAACCATTCATATAACAACCATTCAAAGTTATAACAGCACTGAGAAAAAAGGGCCTTTTGATTGGACCTCGCACTTACAACCTGTCACAGCATCGCTCCAAGTCACGTGATCAAATTTCAGCCAGACTGCATTTATGATGGTTGCAGCATCCTGGGGTCATGTGATCCTCACCCAAGACCTTCCTAGCTGGCTTCTGACAACCAATGTCAACCGGGGATGGGGGCCTGAGTTTGCTTAATGACCATGTGATACCCTAAGCAATTGCAGGGATTCATTCGCTTAACAACTACAGCATAAAAAGGTCGTAAAATTGGGTGCAGTTCACTTAACTGTCTTGCTTAGTAATGGAAATTCCGGTCCCAATTGTGGTCATAAGTCAAGGACTCTCTGCATATAAAATGGATACTTTTTAAAAGAGAAAGACCATTAACAAAAATGTTGCATTAGGGCTGGTTCTCAGTGTGGTTGCTCTTATTCTAACTGAAAGCTGAGCCACCAGAGATTCTAGGGCCACAGGTGGTTTGCATTGACTTTCGATCCCATAGACTTTGCTTGTCAGAAGCTAGCTAGGAAGGCCTCATTCTGGTGATTTTCAACAATACTCTAGCCGGAGCCATCAATGGAAGCATTGTTTACCATAAGCCAAACATTAGGTTTAAAACCAATATCCAGAAATTTTCCCTTTCCAAACTCTGTGAATAAATTGGAAAGTCCTGGTTCACCCATAGAATATAAACTGGAACATTTTAGAACAAGAATCGTGGGGCTGGAAATGACCTCAGAGGTCTTCTAGTCCAGCCCGTGCTCAAGGCAGGGGACCTTATACCACCCCAATCAAATGGTTGTCTGGTCTACTTTCAAAAACTTCCTGTGATGGAGCACCCACAACTGATTTTATCAACTTCTATTCCTAATTGATCATTGCACCGTAAAGGGGCACTGTTTGGGTTTTCTACATTGTTTACTTAACTTCCTCCCCTCACAACCCAATTCATGCGGACTATGTATGAGAGCAAAACAAATTGGCTACTTTCTTGCATTTCCATTAAGATTGGTCTAAAATATGGAAAGGAACAAAGCTTCCTCCTTCAGGTCAACACTGACAGCTGTGTCAGTCCACCCTCCCTCTGAGGTCCTATTTCAAAGAAAATGAAGTCAAATCTAGGTACTAAAGGATGTCTCATTTGAGTCATTTCGCTGTCCCTCCCTATTCCATTATCAAAGAGAGGTTCTTGATCCCATTCTCTCTTCTGTTATAGTTGAGACAAGTTGAAGTAATCCTTTATTTATCTTCCATTCACATTTGTCTTGTTCCTATTTGTTAAGAAGCTTTGAGTATGGAGATTTATATAGGTATGTTGTGGTATGGTGAGTTTGAATCTTATCCATAAATCCATTTTCCAGCCTGGTGGGAAATTAAAAGAGAAATTAAAATCCCCAGATTTTGTAAGTTGATTACTTTTTTTTTTTACTCTATTTATTCATGGCTGCCCATCTCAAACATATTTACATCTTGCTTTCTCCTAGTAAAATCAGCCAATGTGATTCATGGTAGAAAGCAAAGCATTGAGTGAAATCACATGAATGAATACTGCTGCCACTACTACGAGCCACCAAGCTCGATTGACAATTTACAAATAACAATATCAAAGTAGCATAACGTTAATCAGCTTGAAACTATCAAACCTTCTCCCCCCCCCAAAAAAAAAAAACCTTATTCAAAGCGACAAAAATCCTAATCAGGAAAGCAAGAAAATGGGTTTTTAAAGCTTCTTCTGAAGCCATGCAGCCAGGAGAGATGGTATGTATTTCAAAGAATAGTGAGTTCCATCCATTTGGCGCAGTCACTCAGAATGTCTTAGCTTAGTAGTTGATTCTAATTGACCTACTAGGTTAACACTAGGTTAACCACTCCTCTACTCGTTGTAGAATACCTTATGCCACCAGACTTGAAATTCTAGAACTAGAAAACCTTGAATTACGCCGTCTTCGGTCTGATTTAAGCATGGTATATAAAATCATACATTGCAATGTCCTACCTGTCAATGAATACTTCAGCTTCAACCATAACAACACAAGAACACACAACAGATACAAACTCAAGGTTAACCGCACCAAGCTTGACTGCAGGAAATACGACTTTAGCAACAGAGTGGTCAATGTCTGGAATACTCTACCCGACTCTGTAGTTTCTTCCCCAAACCCCAAAAACTTTAACCTTAGACTGTCTACTATTGACCTCACCCCTTTCCTAAGAGGTCTGTAGGGGGCGTGCATAAGCGCACCAACGTGCCTACCGTCCCTGTCCTATTGTTTCTTTTATTTTTCTTTTATTTTTCTTATATGTACTCATTTCATGTATTCATAATTATGTATACACTTTTACTTATCTCGTAAACAATTGACAAATAAATAAAATAAAAAAAAAATAATAAAATAAAAATAACATCTGCAGTAAAACCCTTCAAAGGCCACTGGGGCTTGTGGTAACATCTTTGCAATTGTGGTATGATCAGCGTGAATCACAATCTCTCCTGGAATTGCAGTTGCTCCCTGCTTGTGTTGTACTTGCCTTTGCTATGTAGACACTTTCTGAATGCAACTGGTTGTTTCTTAGTTGTTGTGGTCATAGACCAGCATCGCGTGATTAGCAAGTTTCTACAGTTTTTGGCAATTCTTCTGGCTGATGCATATCCTTTACATGTAGCTGTTTGATTCTATTGAGGACATACATGTGGAGGGCATTTTTCCTAGGGTTGATACAAAGCATTTAAGTAAAAACATAAAATACAAATTATACTTCCCTGCAAAATCTCAGCATAGTTCTAGACGTAGCAGTCTCATAGTAGATTGTTAATTGAGGCAGAGCCTGACATGTATTACAGTTTAACTGTTCACTGGGGAACAGATTTTATTTTTCTTCCTTTCTGCTTTGAAAATATTGCCAAAGAAATTCATCTCCAACACTAGCAAACATTTGGAAAGGGTTTTATGGGAACAGAAGAAAACAATTTGTATGTGAGTTAACCAAAGACAGACCTGCAAAGAGATATAAATACTGACAATCTGGTGGTGATGCAAGAAATTCAAAGTGTGGAAACTATATTTTGAAACATATCTCTACAAATTCCAAAGATACACCAGGAGTAGATCTCATTGTAACTTAGTTAATTATTGCTTGTAGAACCTTGGCAGATTTTTTACAAGCCTTCTGAAAAGATCAGGAGAAGCACAATTCTCTCTATGGCATTCATTGTTCCAATTCTCTTAATTTGTTTTATAAGGACCCCTGAGGATTCTGTATTACTAGCAGGTGAGCTGAAGAAAACCCAGAAATTTGCAAAGCAGGCAATGACACAATCAAGTAAAAAGTTATGTAGCCTCCTTTGAGGACTTCACAAATACCAAAAAGTGGGATTAAAACGATAACACTCATCCTATGCTCCATTCTGAGGCCTTCGAGGACAAATCCGTGTAAAGAATATTTTTCTGACAATTTTGGCACTTGCAGCATTAGCAAAAGAACAAGAGCGTCTGCTAACTGATGAGTTTAATACAGATGTCTTCCCCAATAAGGACACATGTTAACTAACTACATATGTTAAGCAACTGGTTGGTTTCAAGATGGAAAAGGGAGGCCAGAATTCAAGGAGGAGAATGAGCGTGGAGAACTTGTGGCCCTCCAGCTATTGCTCAATTGCTATTCTCATCTTTCTTCAACTCTGTCCACGTTGGAACTGTTGGGATTTCCGGTTAATAAACATCTGCAGGGCCAGACCTTCCATATCACTGGAGTGGAATGATGTTATTTTAGGGTAAATCGGGAAAACCTTTTAAACTTTCCTCATTTGCTTCTTGAATAAGGCAGTAGCATGCTCCCAACACTGGAAGTTTTGAAGAGGAGATTGGACAGCCCTTTGCCTGAAATGGTATAGTGTTTCCTGCCTGAGCAGGGGTTGGACAAGAAGACCTCCAAGGTCCCTTCCAACTATGTTATTCTGTTATTGGAAGTGACTATTGTGATTAAGGAGAATGCCCGCTTTCTGTAGCAACTTAGGAGAGATAGGCACACTTGGTGAGGTTGTCTGCATTTTCTTTATTCTGTTACAGGATCGTTTTATTATATTGCTTATTTTTGTGCATTACTGATTCTTAAAACAATTGTTCCATGACTAA